TTTTTTTTTTGTTTTTGGGGGGGGGGGGGGGGGGAACTGGTTATGAAGAGCATAAATACAAAGAGGACAATTCTTCCCTCCACCAAGAGTAGCATTATGATAACCAAAATGATAGTATTCCCCAAAAATAGATAATAAAAGAAGAATATTAACTATTGTCGTGACACGGCTGTCTAATGCTTCCATGTCCATCCTCAATGATTGGTTGGCACATTATAATGTATCAGGAAAACGACAAAAAGAAGAAAAACAAAACAAACCTGATGCAAACGACCTCTTTTCTGGAATATTTTATCTTCATACGATCCCACAGCTTGAATGAAATGTTCTACCCTGCTCAGATTTGGCTAAAAGAAAAATAAAAAAGAGAAATGATTGAAATTATAGCAACCCCTAAACGAAGTTCCAAAATCAAGCCTTTGTAAAATTTAGGTTACTCCAATAACAGGGAATCAATCAAATACCTTGCTTGCATTGGTCAAATACCCACCCAAAGCTTTAAATTCTTTCTTATATATGGCCAACAACAAGTTAATTGCACCCTAAAATACCAGGAAATAGAGATATTAAAAAAGTACAACATTAAATTAATATTGTGGAGATTGTTAAAGACAACATAATAACGTAGTATTGCAAAATATTAGCAATCCTGCAACATTCACCAAAATTAGCACCATCTTATGAATATCAGAGCTATAACTTGTAAGTACTTCACATGGGTAGGGAAAAATGCATGCTGACGATGCAATACTTCCTTATGTAATGGTGCCTAACTGTCTATATTAGTGTATTGAATTATATCATAAATACTCTCCACAAAATTGACCCATTTAGGAGGATTAGGTATGTCCAACATGATGTCTAAATCAATCTGATTGATGATATGATGCCTTTCATACCGCCATGTGCATCTTCCTGTAAGCATGAATTGCATTGTTAACATATCATGATATTCAACAATCTTATCAACAAATACACTCCTACAATGTGGTTGTTTTGAAATTTCTGTTGATCCAAAGCCTACACTGATTTGTGCCCCCCTTCAAAATGGGGGATATTGAAGAACCAACTTTTTTTCAATCTTCTTGGGTCCATTACCATTGAAATTTAAGTAAGAAGATTGCTTTCTTCTCAAGGTGTCATTTCCTTGATTGCCCACTGTTTCTTGACAATCTTGCCTTGAAACTTGAGATTTAATGCAAAATCTCTGTGCATTTCGAAATGACTGAAACAAAATATTATCACTTAAAATATAAATCTGAATGCCTACAGCCCAGCCCATTAAAGTCAAAGCTAAGGCAAGTATCAACTTGAAATTCACAAAAATTTGGAGTTACCAATTATAGTAGAATCATGAAGACCATATATGGTTATTGAACCAAAATCCCCTAACTTCTCTAACTCGATCTGGTGTATCACATCACTACACATGTGGGCATCTAATGGATGTAGTAATCAAAGATTATGGTCATATCCAACATTCAAAAAGGAAGGGGTGATAAAGAAAAACAGAAGTCAAACACACCTCACGAATCTCTAATGTGGGCATATGTGGCAAAAAATCGTTGCCGACAAAGAAACACATGAAGATAAAGTCATCAACGATGCACTCGAAATCAATCTTGAAAGGAAGGTTGGGAATTCTCATCTCATATTCCAAGTATTCTCTCAGAGTCCATATGTTGACAAACTGCAAAAAGTTGCAATTCAGGGTGCCAAATGGACAAAAAGCCAAGGTCACTATTGTGAATACAAAATACCCTGTTTAATATTCTTCATACAAGGATCAAGACTAACTTGGTAAGGCTTTTTAACCACATCACCATCGCCTTTCTCATCGAATTCCCCTGCTTTTCTCTTTGCCTTCCCTTCACAATCTGCTGCTAAATGACCCAATTGACCACAGAGGAAACATTTGTTTTGTTGTCCAGGAGTAAACACCACCTGATAAACAGATTTAGGGGAGCACATCTATTAGTTGTTCAATTGACGAGAAGAAGATAACACATTGCAAATAAAGCCTAACTGATAATGTTGAAGTAGTAACCAATTCTACGAACATAAAGAATATTCTTATTCTTAAGCTTTGCATAAAGATAGTTCTACAAGTATAATTTTCCAGAAAAGCATGTCTATCAACAATTTCCATCAAACTCTACTTGCAATAAAAATTTGACCACTTCTTTTTTCTTACGAGAAACTTTAAGTTGTCAATTGATTACATCACTTATTTGGGAAGTCTCAAAAACATAATATTCTTATTTTATATCACATATGATGGAGACCTCAGTCCTGCCACAAATAGGATGGTGCGAATGAAAGATAGTCAACAAGGTATTGTTGGGTCAGAAAACATCAATCTTTAAATCATGGCAGTATCTCACAGTAGAATACTAACCTCCCTAAGTATTGAAAAATGAACTTCGTGAGTAGCCAAAGCCAACATAATTAGATCTGCATCCTGTCAAAAGTTTAAAGATAACGGTCAACAATAATAAGAACATATGAAAAGAGGGAGAATAGTCCTATTTCACAGTCTAACAATGTAAAGAAGAAGACATACCAAACCATACAGACAATGGTGCGTATTCGGATCATAACCTGCCATATTCCTTTGCAGCCGTATATATGACATAATTTTGTGTTCCCCTTCACCAGGAGCATTTGCATCAGAAAGGATAACCTTCCAATAGAAAGATAAGCCAAAAATTAGAACAGAAATCCTCTACCCATTTACACACACACCCCAAAGGACAAGCATGCAATTACAATTACAAAATAAACCAAAGAAAAAAGAAAATTTCCAGGGGAACTCGAACAACACCTTAATATTTTTCCATCCAGGGTCATTGTTTAGCCTCAGGTGAATGTAGTATTGCAGAGCAATTGACAAGACAGCCATAAATTCAGTTCCAGGAGTGATGACATTGGAATCGAAAACTTGTGATTCCTGTTTAGGAGGAAGCTTTCTTCCCTCCCTCTCAAACTCCTCCCGCAACCTTTCCTCCTCGGCTGCCTGCAAAAGAAGAGGCCTGAAGATTGAATCCCACTATATGTGATGTTTTAAGTAGGTGCATAAAGAATATATACAGCAGTTACATACAGCATCAGCTGCATCTTTGGCTGCTCTAAAACGCCTAGACCGCTGCTGATTCATTTTAGCCCGTGGGGCAACACCATCTACCACACGTTTTCATATAGTCAATAATTTATATAACAAATGAAATCAAAATCAACGTTAACTAAAAAGTTAGAAGAATATTTCAACCTTATCACCCACCAATAGCCATGTATAGCACCTTCCGGGGCCGAACCATCACAAAAAGCCTATCTATGTAGTCAAACATGCACTGAAATACATCCTCAAAAGTGGTTGGCGAAGGCTGCATGGAATAAAATTGAGACAGTTGAACTGTATTAGTGTACAACAAAATATGAAGGTACTAACCTCTCAAAAAAAAAAAATTTATAAAAGACATTATGAACACTCAATAACTACTAATATAATATGAGATACCCAATGAATCTCAAGCATGGGATGTTAAAATAACTAGGTTGTAAGCACGGGGTCCATATGGAACCTTGCCATTTACCGCCTGGGTAACCAGTTCAAAATTTAACAAAAATATATATGCTTTGAATGAGGGAACAAACGCATTACCTGATACTATTCAAATGTTTCGAAGCTCGTAGAACAAGGGACAACAAGCTCATAACATGACAAGTCTAAGTTTAATAAAGACAAGAAAAACACCTTAAGTAATGATTCGAAACTCAATACATACCCCAACCGAGCCGAATGGAAACTACTATTGTGATTGAAATGGAAGGAATAAGAGAGCAGCATTATATATGGAAATAAGGAAATTATATAAGAATAATTAACATTTGAGCAAAAATTAAACTGAACCCCTTTTTTCTTCTTTTTCTGCTTCTCGTGCCCGTCCCCAGTGGTATCTTTCTTTGGTTTAGATGAAGGGCTAAAACATTCATTAATAATAGCAAGCCAAGCAAAAGTTGGCAAGATTATGTTTGCCTTCTAAAGGCTCCAACAGGGTAAAAACTCCCACATTATAGTCCTTCAAACAAAGTCTTCCAGTACAAAAAAGTGTAGATTGACAATGCTATCACATCTCAGCTCTGGCAGACACCGAAACACTAGGCAGTAGGCACCAACTATAGAAGATCAATTTTTTTTTTTTGTGGCATCTGTGGGGGAGGGGAGGCTTGCATCCAGGGAAGCACCTCATTACCTGGCCATCTTAAGAAACACGTCTAAAGTCCATCTTTAATTTGCACCACCAGCCCAAAATCTTAATGTCGACAAGATCCAATCTCATGGGCATGGGAATGCTACATTTCTAAACCAAACTCTTGAATTGAAAGCTCACAAATACTTCTTGAATTCCAAAAAGAATAAGAAAATTCAACACCCCAAAACTTATGTATTCCCAATAAATCAGAGAAAACGGAACTAAAACTAGACATATCACATTAAAAGCAGTTTATCCATCCAACCAGCAAGTAGATTTTCCATTTGCAATTCAACTAGAGATAAGAGTACCTCCAACCAATAAGAAATTTCAACCATGGATGCCTTAACTTCTGCTAGACCAATACAATGTAGTTGAACACATCTTTTAAAACCATACCAATTGAGATTACCCTATTTGAAACAATGCAAGACTGTTATATATGGGCAAAATCGGAACCATAATCAATCCCGTTAAAACATTCACTTGACTGTCACAGACCTTCAATCAATAGGTCCAAAAACAACCCATAAGATCATAATCACAAATCACAATAACCCTAAAGAGAAAACAAACTCACTTCTAGTATACTATTGATCTCTTTAAAATGTTGATGCTGCCAATAAAAATTTTCTATCCACTCCGTGTCTATAGATCTAAATGGTCATGGAGATAGCTCTTTCGTCATGTCCAAGACTTATTTATCCATACAAGAAACATCATCCTACCATTCAGTATCCTCGGCATGTGATATTGTGTGGCTTTCACTACATAGTACAAGAATATCTTGATACCCGTGACATGAAATGCAACTTGGATTACAACAACTACTACATTTACACTTTGAAAGTAATCCTGTATCCTATCAATTTGAATTGCGGTTACTCATAAATTAAAGTAGGTTTTCCCGCATGAACGAATCTTGTAGCCCAATACATGTCTTTCACTTCATGCAGAAGGGTTGTGCCTCGAAACATCAATTGCAAACTAAGTCAAGCCTTATATCCATTTGTTGAACACCAAAAACAAAAACGCACCACGCCAAAACCTTCAATCGAACCAACAGTCTTTGGTACGTAGACCAGTGACATAGTACTTGACATACAATCAGAATTACCTATACATAAAAGTATATTTGGTTCATGTTGATCATCAACAATCAAGCCAAAATTCTCAATTCCTACTCAAATTCTTCCCCATTTTCGTTGTTATGTCAGATTTCCCAGCAAGACTAATGTACCGTCACCAAAGGCACATTAGATTCCACCATTTCATATTGGCATGCAATTGATGGCTACAACAAAAACAACTAAAGAATACAAACTATAAAAATCAAATACATACAAAACATAGAGACAGAGAGTAGAATCGTACCCGATCTTCGGGGTGAAAACAAGGATGAATAATCCCGTTCATGTCGAGATACAGGTTGTCGAATTCGATGTCGTTAGGGTTAGGTTTACTTGTATCAACCGGTATCTCAACGCCTTCGATGACAACTGGCTCTTCCTCGATCACATCCACCACCACCATCGGATACTTCTCCGCTAACCACCGATAAAATGCTGGAACTCCCATTGCAAATCGCTCTTCAGCTTCAAACCTTCTTCGCAACACCAATATCTCTCACAAATTCAAACAAGAAAAACGCATAGACAACGTAAAGATAAATAAAGACTCAGTGGAGAGAGAGAGAGAGAGAGAGCATATGCGAAAAATAAGACGTGCGGAGAATTGTGCCCGAAATAGAAAGCAATCGGGGTCGCAACGGCGGGCTAGGAGTAGGGCATGAAGTAAAAATAGTCGGTGGGACAGAGATACCCTTTGTTGTTTGACTACGATAGTTTGGAAACGGAGGTCTTTTTGGATAAAGATGGGAGTGTTTGAGTCTTTATATAAATAACAGACGTATAAAACTTAGTAGGTCGGTTGGGCATGGTAAAACTGTAAAAGAGTACAGTCAAAGTGTCAACAACCTACGAGGTCCAGGAATGGTAAAAAAGGTAAGAGATAATGAGATGAAATTACTTTTTTTTTAATTTTTTTGATTTAAAGTATTATCTCAAAACTTAGCCTCTTTTAAATTTTTTTTTCATCAAATAGTTATCATCAGAATATATTTTAAAATATTTTTAAAATAAAATATATATAAAATTTTAAAATTCAAATAATATATAAATATAAAAAAGAATCTTAAAATTCTCATATTTAATTAGCTGTGTACTATTTGTGGTAGGGTAAAAGGGCATGACTTTTTTTTAGTAGATATATTTTTATCCCAATAAATTTAAAAAATATATTTTTATCCTGTTAAGTTTTTAAGGAGATACGTAAGCCCTAAAAGATAAAGTATGAGGTTCTATACCTATATAGGCTGCTTTTAGGCCCAAACTGACCATGGGTATGATCTTATTGTAGCATACGGGCCTGAATTTGTGGCCTGGGCTTACATAAGCCTCCTTTCGTGGGAGTGTGTTTTAATTTGGACCTTTCAGGTCAGTAGACGTTTTGAACCATGCTGCAGCCAGTGGGCTGCCCGGCTTGGCCAACTGCCTACTCTGAAATGTACTGTAGTTATTGTCCTGTTAGGTCCAACAGTTGGCCTGATTAAAATCCCATTTGTAGCCAGGTCCATTGAGATAAGATTTTTAAAAATAGATAGAAATATATCAAATGTAAACAAAGATTGAAAAAGCCCACAACGGTGGTCCGGACCATCGACCAGATGAGATTTGACAAAAAAATAGATAGAAATACGTCGGAATGTAAACAAAGATTTAAAAAAGAGGCCGATCTGATGGGTATTTGTCAAAGGCCCATTAAGACTGACGTAATAGATTATAGACAATCTGCGTGGGCCATGATTTTTTTGCACCAGCATTTATGCCTCGTCATTTGGTGAAAATTATAAGTTCTTTAGATGTATTTATTTAGAAATAAGTTCTGCAAGAAAATTTAAAAAGGAATAAGTTCATTTTTAAAATTATATATAATGACTTAAGTCCACCTTTTTTTTTATCTCAAAAATATCCTTCCTTAAAAGGAAGTTAAATTAATTTCCTATTTTGGAAATCGTTATCTCTTAAGTCAATGTCAATTAAAATATGACAATAAAATTTTCATCATAAATTTAAAATTTAAATTCAAAACTCTCTCTCTCTCTCTCCCTATATATGTACCTATATATTATACTTTTAATCGTTTGAAGATTTTCATAAAATCTGATAAATCTTTTATTGTTTTTGCAAAAAAAGAGAGTTTGTGATAGAAGAGTTTATCAATCGATCACTTTGCCATCGAAGACTGATTCGATTTTGGACGTTTCAATTGATAAATCAGTGAACCTAGATTTTTCTGAAAGCAATATTCAAAAACCCAGAGCAAATTCAATTGTTTCTGCATCTTTAGCTTTTTCTTTGTGTTCGAGTTCGTCATCTGAGGCATAAAACTTCCGATCATTGTCTATAAAGAAGTCTTTGGCTCGATCTCAATCCAATTTGTTTAATCAGAAAAGATAGACCCTTGCGAATTATACAGTCGTCTCTTGTTTGTCAAGTTCATATTCAGTATTATTTTTTATTCTCGTCGCTCTCTTTTTTATCATCTTTTGGGGTAAACTTTGTTCAATATTGTTTACATCAACATGTTACTATGAATTTAAATAGTAAAATTCAAATTCATGTTAATATTTTTTTTATTATATTATTGTTCATGTTACTATTTTTATTGAGTATGTTACAGTTCATGTTACTATTATTTTGAGCATGTTACTATTTTTTTTTAATATTACTATTTTTTGTAGTTGAATGGTATTATTTTTTGCATTTGAATTTGAGAGAAATAATTATTGTTAAGTATGTTATAGTTTTTGTTAAGCATGTTAATATTTTTGTTGAAGATATTACTATTGTTATTTTTAAAAAATATTAATATTGAATGTTTCAATTTTTTTTTATGTTTAAATATTTCTATTTTTTTGTGTTTAAATGATAATTTTTTTTTTGTAGTTGAATGTTACTATTTTTTATTTTTAATATTACTATATATATAGTAACATTAAAAATGGATATAGATAGATAAGAGAGAGGAAAAATTTTAATGTTAGTCAAACTCCTAACCTATATATGGATATAGATAGATATGAGAGAGAAAAAATTTTAATGTTAGTCAAATTCTTAAGATTTTAGGAATTTTTAATTTTTAGTTTTATTTCACTTATAAAGGGAAGATATATTATGGTAAAATTGACAAAAAATAGACTTCGTAATAAATAAGTTTCCTTGACGGACTTAAGTCCAAACAAATCTATATAGGAGGATTGACCTCTAAATTTCCCTATCATTTATATAGTGGTGCTCTTTTAGTGTGTTCACTCAACGCCCATCCAGGTCCGGCGCCTATGTTGTTAAGTTTTAACAACATAAATGTCATTGATCTAAATAGCATCGATTTGCATCAAAATTATAGAGTTTTATTTAATAAAACAACGTCGTTTTAATCAATAGTATCTCTTATGTTAATTTTCTAACAACAGAGGATCCTCACTCATGTCCATCCTCCCACCATTGAAAAGCAAAAAAAAAAAAAAATTGTGCTATTTTAATCCATCCACAAAAATTATCCACCCTGGCTTGGACCCTTCTCAATATGAGTCTTGTTCCCTTGTGCAGAAAATCTTACATTAATGTGCATTAATACATTAAGTTGGTGATCATACAGTTGTGCCTTGCTCTGAACAGATCAAACATTAATGCTTCCCTCTGTTCGTAATACAGTACATGTGATGGGTCTATGGTTCAGGTACGACCGTAAGTCCTTCGGTTATCCGGGTAAGCTGTATTGGGGGCCCACCTGTTTCCATATTGTTTCTATTGTGTCGTATATTCATGCATTATACCAAGAGTTGTAGTCGTCGTGTAGTCGTCGTGCTTCTTACTCTTTTGCCAATCTTATTAATGCAATTCCATCAGATTATAGCCAAATGGCATGTTACGTCCGCAAAACGCCATTACTCTCTGTAGAACATGTAGGTTTACAAGATGCTTGTGTCTGGTGATCTCTCTTGAATGGACCCAAGGCCAAATGACTCCTTGTATTGATTAATTTCGTGATGTGTTAGTCAAGTCAGTGGGTGCCTAGCCTTTTTCAGCAGCTTCAAACATGGCCATTGCTGTCTGTTTTAGGTTGCTGATCCTTTTCTGTTTAATCCAAATGGAGGATTATATTATCCTTTTGCTTGTTAGACAATGGGAAAGTCATCAGCCACATATATATGTGTTTATATGGCTGTACCTATACTTTCCAAGAAAAGAAGTCATTCATTCCCAGCAAATACTCAAGCACCCATGGTTTCAGTTTCGTTACTAATTATATCCCAGCAGGAATTGCTACACAAAAATCCGGATAGAGGTGGTGGTCTGAATCAGGCTTGTCAACGAATCGGGACTCGTATCAGAATCTGATCCATTGACAGGCCAAGTCTCAAAAGATTCCTATGGACAGTTTAGTTACACATTAGAAAGTTTGTTGAGTGAATTGGCTATGGGGGGTACTAGAACTATTGTACCCAAAAAAATATTTTTCGGTATTGTACCTCCTCTAATTGTTTAATAAAAGTGTGACAGATGTGAAGTCTATTTATTTTATTATTTCTTTGAACAATGGTTACAAGTACCCCAAACCAAAATTCATGACTAAAAATAATTTTTTAACATGATATCTAATGATAATTTTCATAAAGTTATTTTTTGGTACCATCGCCAAGACTTTATATCTACGGTGGTGTGTTGACCTCACAGGTCCTTTCTATGTTGTCTTTGCAAGATTATTTGGGGCAAGGGTAACATGGCCTTCATGTGCCTAACAGGGGTCATTTTCTGCCCCATAAGTTGCTTTTGCTGTTTGGTTATGGCGGTGGGTGTGAAAGGTGGGTCAAACTGCAAATTTTCCCTTTGTTTTTATCCGCAATGCACTAACCATTCTCATCCGCAGAACATGGTGTGGCCTCCTTTGAGACATCCCATGGCCCAGTTCTACTTACCATTTCCACCTTCTAAGGCTTGATTAGGGCATTTTTTAATTTTTGGAGTTCTTGCTTAGTTGAGCCGATGAGCCATAAGAATTAGGGTATTTTGAGACAAATTTTTTATGGCAGGTGTATTTACTGTCACAAAAAAAAAAAGGGTTTTGTAGCTATAGTTTTATCACAAAAAATTTATTTGTTGTATCAAATATTATTTGAGACAAACCGTTATAACCATAGAAACCTTTTGAGACTCTAATTATTATGACAATCATTGTGACAGCAAGTGGTGTTTCAAAAAGTCTTTATAGCGGCAACGAGGTGTGTTAACTAGTATTTACAACAACAAATAACTTTTTTGTGACAGCACTACCGTCATGAATATTTTTTTTCTTTTTAAAACACGATTTTTTTGTGATAGTGAACCCAGTTGTAGATACAAAAAATTTATTATTCTCAAGAAATGATGAATTTATGGAGTAGTTGACCTAACTCTTTTCTTTTTATCTATAGCACTTGATTTAAAACCATAGTATTAACTATTGACTTGGTGGGT